GAAGGAAGGAAGGAAGGAAGGAAGGAAGGAAGGAAGGAAGGAAGGAAGGAAGGAAGGAAGGAAGGAAGGAAGGAAGGAAGGAGCTGCACTGCCCACCTGGAATGGCCAGTTGGGTCCCCATTGGGACAACTTGTAACAACTCACAGATTGCTATTTGTCCTGATTGCTGAAACCTCACAAGGTATCTTGACCTTTTCCAGCCCATTCCCCGGTGGTCATTGTATGGACCCTGATGGCTGAGTGAATGTAAATAGCAATTATTTCTATTTTGCCCAGAAATACCGAGGGTCTTCCCCTCCCAGACTGATTTTTTTTTGACTAGGTAAAAGAGGACATTCTTACCTAACCTTAATCATTGAATGGGCATTGCCTCAGTCAAACTGAGACCTGGGAAAGACCTTAGCTTAAAAAGGCCAAGGTCTCCCACTGCATCCTGGGCCATTTCCAGTTATCCTGATCTATATCTTGCCACTGGACCCAGATGGCTCTGGAGGAGAAAATGAGGTTGGTGACTTTGCACAGCCCTCTCTCGTTTAAATATAATTCACTTACAAGCCATGGCATCACTTTCCTGATGTCATGGTCCTCCTCAAGAACAAAGGACAAACAATAGCAACAACAACTGTGGAGTAGAAAGAAGACTGAATGATGGACTGCCAATCTAGAGTCATTTATCAGCAATGATGCTGACAAGTTGGGTGAACCTGAATAAGTCACCCAACTTCTCTTTGTCTTAGTTTCATCACCTGTAAAATTGAGATGATAATACTCTTACAGAGTTGCTAAAAGCAGTGTTTTGATAAATCTTCAAGTACTATAGATAAAGGAATCAACCATTCAACAACAACACAGGAGTTAGGGGTCTGTCTTTGGCCAAGATTGGGGCTACTACAATCTAACATGAAATAGCAAGAAGCTAACTGACATGGGTTGGAATCAATGCCCTGCAGATTCTACTCCACTCCCAACAAATTCAAAATGAACAGCTCAAAATGAGATTTTCAATGTTTACCATTCTCTATCTTCCAAATCTTTTTTCCCACCTTTCCTCCATCTCTCCCCTTTCCTTCCTTATTTCTTTCCTTCTTTCATTTGTTCCTTCCTCCCTCCCATCCTTATGTCCTTTCTTCATGAAACACTGAATTCACCTGTCCTCATACCATTAATACTTCAGCTAAAACCACCAAACACAGGCGGCAGCTCCCACACTTTGAGGCTGAATCTCCCAAATTGTTCCATTACAGTATCATTAACACTTTAGCCTGGCTTTTAATAACTGGTGACACTACAGGACTAGGGTGAGATGACAGGCCAGACTTCAATGGGAAAGAGGACAGAGACAAGCTAGGGTGAACTTCAATATTTGGCTTCTGTCCTTTCTGGTCAGAGCTTCGGAGAAGACAAGAAAAATATTAAGACTGAAACTTACTTATCAGGTTCTGAACCACGCTGACATCCAGGAGTTGTACCCGACTTTTGATGAGAGGACAGATCTACAAGGAAGAACACATGGTGAGTAGTCCACATGGGCAGAAGGTTATTATAATAACAGTAATAATTTGATGATAAAAAAGAATATATTTACTATGTAGTTTAAAGTTGACTAAGCATGTTCCTTGAAAAAATCTTTGAGATGGATAGTACAAGAATTACTGTGCAGATTTTATAAAGAAAATTGAGGGTTGAAAAGGTTAAAGGACTATTCCTGAGTTATACAAATAGTAAAAATCAGACTTGATTTTTGAACCAAGCTCTCCAGGCTCCAAATCCAGTGTACATGTATATGATTATGTGTGCTTGCAGGTGTGTTTATGTGTGTGTGTATACATAGGGGATAGGATACAAGACCTTCAGCTATCCTAAGTGGGAACAAGCCTATCCCTCTCCTAGATCTTTGGGGTGACCTGCAGACTTTGTCTTTTTCTGATAAAGAGTATGAGAGTGGCAAGCAGCATTTTTAACAGGGACAATTTCAGACCAGGATGGAGAAACAGCACCTGAGTCCCACATGATAAGGTTGTTGGGGGAAGAAGGCATTCATAATATCCAAAAGAAAAGTACACACAGCCTACAGCAGGCTGGCCTTCCCTTAGCAAAGGGTACTAGAATCGCAGCTGCCAAAGGAGCATGCTAGGTAGTGCCATAGTGCACAGAGCACCAGGCCTGAAGTCAAGAACACTCCTATTCCTGAGTTCAAATCTGGCCTCAGACACTTACTAGCTGTGTGATCCTGGACAAGTCACTAACCCTGTTTGTCTCAATTACCTCATTTGTAAAATGAACTGGAGAAGGAAATGGCAAACCACTCCAGTGTCTTTACCAAGAAAAACCCAAATGGGGTCACGAAGAGCCAGACACGACTAAAAATAACTAAACAAAAACAACAAAGGGGCATGCTGATATTCCTGAAACAACATCCATGTATCAAGAGAAATTAGACCTTCCTGGGTTTCATTTTTGGTATTATTGGTCATTATTGGTCTTTGGCCTCTATCTCAAGCTCATAAACCTGCCTCTCTCCTTAATTTCTCTGTCTACCAAAGGTACCACCATTTTCCCAGTCTCCCAGACTTGTACCTTGGAGTCTTTCTTGACCTTAACCTCTCTCTCTCTCTCTCTCTCTCTCTCTCTCTCCCTCTCTCTCTCTTGTCCCCACATCCCAGAAAATCCTGTCATCTTTTTATCTACAGTATGTCTTTCATCCATCCCCACCTCCTTACTACCACCTTAGGTCAAGCCCTCATCATTTCTGCTCACATGAGCAATGGTCATAGCATCTGGACTCATATTCCTGTTTCCAGTCTTTCCCTTCACTGATCCATTCTGTTCACCCTTTGAGAAGAAACTTCATAATCACCCTGATTATATCACTCCTCTACTCAAAAATTTTCAGTGATTCCCTATTTGTTGTTTTTGTTCTATTTCAGGCATGTCCATCTTTTTGCGACCTTATCTGGGGTTTTCTTGGCAGAGACGCTGTAGTGTTTCACCATTTTATTCTCTAGCCCATTTTACATAAGAGGAACTGAGGCAAATAGGATTAAGTGACCTGCCCAGGGACACACAGCAAGTAGGCATCTGAGACCAGTTTTGAACTCAGGTTTTCCTTAATCTAGGCCCAGTACTCTATCTACTGTATCCTCTGGCATTATACATAAAATAAAATTTAAATTCCCAGACCTTGGCATTCAAACCTCATCTCAGCCTGGTTCCAATCTACGTGACCATCCTTAACTCACAGTACTCCTTCTGATATACAGTTATACCTTCCACATCAAAGGGGTTAGGGGCACAAAAATCCACATGCCCTCCCTTCATACCATAGAAGTCTAAATTATTATGGTATTAAAAGATAAAATATCTTGATAATATACAATACTATACATATATTTTATGCATTTCTGATTTTCTAAACTTTTTCTGTGTCATCTTCTCACCTTCACATGTCATGTGTGGCTTCCACAAAACTCCCAAAAAATTCCCTTTTAATTTCTTATGCCAATCTACTATTTATTGAAACTGTGACGGAGAAAGTCATGCTGGGTAAGGGATAACTATTCTATTCCTGCCCTCTTCAACCTCTGAAATTATAGACACTGTCTTCTATGTCTAGGATGTATTTTTTTTCTTTCCAACCCCATCTCAGGTAAAAGTGACCTCTCCCTCCTCAAATTTTGGATAGCACTTTACCTGAACTTTTTCTCTGCCCAAAATACCCCCTCTTTACCCCTCATCACAGTGATAGGTAGAAAGATACTTAGATAGCTTGATAAATATACATTTTATATATATATATATATATATATATGTATATATGCCATATCTCATCCACTCAATAGCTTGTAAATTCCTTGATGAAAAGGACTCTCATTTTTTGTCAATCTCTATATCTCTACCACATTCCGTCAGGCCCTCTGCATGATGCTGGCAGTTAATGAAATGTTTGTGGAATTGAATACCCAGAAGAAAAGGACCTACTTGTTTCTCCAATGTAACAGGAACTAACTTCTCTAGGAGATCATCCAGGCCCCTCAGGAGAAATTTCTGAAGACCTGAGAAGCTGATGAAAAGAGAAAGTGAACATAACAGTGTTAGGAATCATCTAGGGAATGTGCCCATAAGGAAACTCAATGCCAAAAAGCCGTGGACTGAGGACTTGAAAAGGAATGTTAGCAATACAAAAGACAAAACACCATGAATTTTTAAAGAGAGATGTCAGAACCACCAATGTTAAATGGACCAGAGCATCCTAGACCTACCACATATCTCAATACAGCCTGACTAATATGAACAATTAGCAGTTGCATCACATGGCTTTGAATTTGCTTAGTGCTTTCACTTTTCTTCCTTCATATAGGATCTTGCTTGATCTTCATATCAGCTTTGGAGGAAAGCATTGTTGCCATGATTTTACAAAGAAAGGAACTGAGGCTAAGTGAGTTCAAACTAGCCAAGGTCACACGGCGTGGGAGGGTGGTGAGGTCAGTGCCTCTCTGTTCTATGTTATTGTCTTCACTCCTTACTCTTTCCCTTCCCCCATCAAAATCTGCTCTCAAAAGAAAGCTAAGACCCAGAAAGTGGGAGGAAATAGGTCAGCATTGGAAAGTAAGACAAATAGACCTGTAAACTTATGAACAAGGCTCTGTCTCTTTCTTCCTCTGACCCCAAATGACAGAAATAACACAGAACAAATGGAAAATAATGCTCACCCATCCAAAAGAGATAAAGAGACAGTGGCTGAGTCACTGGAACATTCTCCAAAGAGTACAACAGAGATGCCAGTCTTGGCATCAGTCCCAAGGCTAAAGTGTACAAGGATATCCAGACCAACCTTCAGTTTGATATCGGATAAAAAAGGATTTCTGAAAGAAATAGAATCATTGAGACACAGAACCCACAGGTTCATATCTTTTCCAGTGTTTCCTTCACCCACAAGTTTACATCACCACACTATCATCTGAATCCAGATGTTTCCCTCATCCGGTGATTTATGTAATAGAGAAGTTTACACCATTTATCCCTTTTATGGGAATGGAATGAGTCACATTAAAATCTTGCATGGCGTTATGCACTGTTAAAAGAAACATCAATTATAACCAGAGCAAATGAGACTAGTTTTTGATAAGGAACAAATCTCACAAAATATCAGAGGTAGGAGGTTTCCTGAAGGCCACATAATCCAACCTCCCCTAATTTTAGAGAAAAGAAATATTTCCTCCATCCACAAGTTTATATCATTTATATCATTGTCCCATTGTCTTCTTCCAAATACTTCCCTTACACAGTAGTTTACATAACCCAGAAGTTTACATTATTTATCCCTTTTTTATGGGAACAGATGAGGATAGGTTACATTGAAATGTTTCCTAGCATTAGCAATTATTGGGGAAAAAAACTCAATTATAACCAGAATAAATGAGACCAATTTAAAAATAGACCCCAATTTGACCAAATGCCAGGCTGGGAGGCATCTGAGAGGCCAATCTACTCCAGGGACCTCATTTTAGGAGAAAGACAAAGCCCCAGAGAGAAGTCATTTACTTAAGATGACCAAGTGAGCTAGTGGCAGAGCAAGGACTCAAACCAAGGTTCCTTGACTACCCTCACCCCAACCCAGGACTCTGTCTAACTGCACAGTGCTGCCACCCATGAATTCTCCTTTTACCCAATGTGCACTCACATTTTCAAGGCAACTGTCGCACTGACAGGTATTTTGAGGTTGATACTTTTGCCATCAGAACCCAGTTCAACTGTGGTCTTCAGCAATGTGAGGTCCTGAACCTTTAACCTTCACAGAAATCACAGAGATCATTAGATATCACTCTTTTCAGGGAGCAGCATGAGACAGAAAAAAAGTTGGAGTGTTAGGTTATCAAATGTCAGAGCTAGAAAGACTCTCAGGAATCATCTAGTCTCAGGTGAATTGGTTTTTTGGAGGGGTTTTTTATAATTATTTCATTATATTTGATCTCCTTTTTAATCCTGTGTTCTTATTTTAGGTATTTAAAAACATGATTCTGAAAAGGGGTCCATAGGAATCACCAAACTTCCACTGGGGTCCATCACACAAAAAAAGGCCCCTAGTCTAGTCCAACATCATCACTGTATATGGAGGGTGGGGGGGGAATGTGAATTAGAAAGGAAAAGGGATGTGGTTAAAGTCTCATAGCAAAACAGTGTCAGAGGCAGGAGTCAAACTGTGGTTTAAAACTCCAAGTTTTTACTTGGGGGCAAAGCCAAGATGGTGGAGTAAAGGCAGAGACTCACCTGAGCTGTCCCTCAAACTCCTCCAAATACCTTTAAAAATGACTCTAAACAAATTCTAGAGCAGCAGAACCCACAAAATGACGGAGTGAAACACATTTCCAGCCCAAGACAACCTGGAAAGTCTACAGGAAAGGTCTACAGCACCAGGCTGAGAGAGGAGCACAGTCCAGCACAGGTCACGCCAGTACAAACCAGGCCCCAGCAAACCTGGCGCAGGTCTCAGGCCTCAGGGGACTGAATCACTGGCAGTAGTGGTAGTTTCTAGACTTCTCAGCCCACACGTGCCAAAGACAACTTAGGTCAGCAGGGTGGGTGTGAGACATGGGTGAGAGAGGAACTCAGTCCAGCCCCAGCCCCAGCAAACCAGGAGCAGGCCTTGGGAGTGACTGAATCAACAGTGGCAGCAGCAGTGGCTGCTCCTGCAGCTCTCAACCCACAGAAGGAAAGGGGATCAAATAACTGGTCAGAAGAAGATTACAGGGGTTTCTTTGCTATCACTGAGGCATGACTCTGTTGCTTTGCTCATACTTGGATCTGGGTCAAAGTCCTGGGTGAAGAGGAGAACTAGCATAGCAGAGCTTATGGCAGCAGTGGAGAGGGGACTCTCCTCATAGTTCCAGGACATAAAAGAGTGCTTGTGGTCACTCATAGACCAGAGCACGGGCCAGGAGAGGAGTAAACACCTCTCCTTAGATCATACCACCTTGGAAGAACAGAAAACTTACAGGTCCCTAGGAATATCTCTGAAAACAACTGCACAAAACTTTTGAAGCTTGGGACAGTTCTCCCTCCATGCTGAAAGCAGAGCCTTACCTTAACAAAGAGTTAAAAAGTCAAGTAATAGGCTGGGAAAATAGGCAAACAATGGAAAAAATTCTGATTATAGAAACTTACTTTGGAGACAAGGAGGATCAAAACACACACTTAGATGAAGACAACAAAGTCAAAGTTCCTACATCCAAAGCCTTCAAGAAATATATGGATTGATCTCAGGCCATGGAAAAGCTCAAAAAGGGTTTTGAAAATCAAGTAAGAGAAGTAGAGGAAAAATTGGGAAAAGAAATAAGAGTGATGCAAGAAAATCATGAAAAACAAGTCAGCAACTTGCTAAAGGAGACCCAAAAAAATACTGAAGAAAACAACACCTTAAAAAATAGACTAGACCAAATGGTAAAAGAGGTCCAAAAAGCCAATGAGAAGAAGAATGCCTTAAAAAGTAGAATTGGCCAAATGAAAAAGGAGGTCCAAAAACTCACTGAAGAAAATAATTCCTTAAAAATTAGAATGGAGCAAACAGAAGCTAATGACTTTATGAGAAATCAAGAAATTATAAAACAAAACCAAAAGAATGAAAAAACAGAAGACAATGTGAAATATCTCATTGGAAAAGCAACTGACCTGGAAAATAGATCCAGAAGAGAGAATTTTAAAACTATTGGACTACCTGAAAGCCATAATCAAAAAAAGAACCTAGACATCATCTTTCAAGAAATTGTCAAGGAAAATGGCCCTGATGTTCTAGAACCAGAAGGCAAAATAGAAATTGAAAGAATCCATCAATCACCTCCTGATAGAGTTCCCAAAATGAAAACTCCCAGGAATATTGTAGCCAAATTCTAGAGCCCTCAGGTCAAGGAGAAAATATTGTAAGCAGCTAGAAAGAAGCAATTCAAGTATGGTGGAGCCACAGTCAGAATAAAGAATCAGAGGGCTTGGAATATGATATGCTGGAGGGCAAAGGATCTAGGATTACAACCAAGAATCACCTACCCAGAAAAACAGTATAATCCAAGAGGGGAGGAAATGGATATTCAATGAGATAGAGGAATCTCATTCGTTCTTGAGAAAAGACCAGAGCTAAATAAAAAATTTGACTTTCAAATACAAGACTCAAGAAAAGCATGAAAAGGTAAAAATGAAAGAGAAATTATAAGGAATTTATTAAAGTTAAACTGTTTACATTCCTATATGGAAAGATGATATTTGTAACTCATAAGACCTTTCTCATTATTAGGGTAGTTACAAAGAGTTTTTATAGACAGAGGGCACAAGTGTGAGTTCAATATGAAGGGATATCTAAAAAATAAAATTAAGGAGTAAGAGAGGAATGTAGTGGGAGAAAGAGAAAGGGAGAGGTAGAATGGGGTAAATTATCTCACATAAAAGAAGCAAAAAAAAAAAGCTTTTACAGTGGAGGGGTGGGGGGGGAGGTGAGAGGGAATGAGTGAATCTTACTCTCATCAGAATTGGCTCAAAGGGGGAATAACATACACATTCAATTGGGTATAGAAATCTATCTTAACCTAAAGGAAAGTAGGGAGGAAGGGGATAAGGGTGATAAGGGAAACAAGGAGGAAGGGGAGGTGATAGAAGGGAGGGCAGATTGGCAGAGGGGGTAGTCAGAAGCAAAACACTTTTGAGGAGGGAGGGGTGAAAGGAGAGAGAGAACAGAAAAAAACAGGAGGGGGCAGGATAGAACGCAGGGAAATATAGTTAGTCTTTTACAACATTACTATTATGGAAGTGTTTTGCATGACTACTCATGTATAACCTATATCAAATTGCTTGCCTTCTCAATGGGGCGAGTGTGGGAGGAAGAAAGGGAGAGAATTTGAAACTCAAAGTTTTAAAAAGGAATGTTAAAATTGTTTTTACATATAACTGGGGGAAAATAAAATACTAAATAAAAATTAAAATAAAATAAAATTTGAAAAAACTTTTAAGTCCAGGGCTTTTCCCACCCCACCACAACAACTCCTCTTAAAACAATAGCAACAATAGTAATTCATTTTTCTATAGCCCTTTAAGGTTCACAAAGTGCTTTCTTCACAGCCACCTTGTGAGGCATACAGTTCTGTACACTAAGATGAGTGTTTCAGAAAATGTGTTGAGTCTAAATAATCCAGGTCCAGGACTTTCATTAGAATTTTGGAGGAGGAGCTATTCCGAGGAAGAACAGGATATCTACAAACAGGGAGGAAGAGATAGAGTGATGGAAATGGGATCAAGTCCCTGAAATTTATCTTCAATGTTTCCTCACCCTCTATCTCTTTCCCCAGTTTTCCCCCTTTAATGGTTCCCATCTCATTTAGCATCTTTTGTGCAAATCCTCTCCCCCTCTCAGCCTGCCCTTGGGAGAAGAACTGTTAAAATAATGCACAGTGAAGTGTCACTAACATAAGAAACTTAAAAGTATTTTCCCCTCACAGTGACTGTTGTTATTCAGTCATTTAAGCTACATCCGACTCTTCATGACCCCACTTGGTGTTTTCTTGGCAAAGATGCCGGAGTGGTTGGCCATTTCCTTCTCCAGCTCATTTTACAAATGAGGAAACTGAGGCAAACAGAGTTAAGTGACTTTCCCAGGGTCACACAGCTAGCAAGTGTCTGAGGCTGGATTTGAACTCAGGAAGATGTGTCTTCCTGAGTTCAGTCCTGGCACTCTATCCACTGCACCACCTAGCTGCACCAAACCTTAGCCTCTGATTATCTGTACTTTCCTTAAGCTCTCTTACATTTCCTATCCCATGTTTATATCCATTTTTCTTGAAGTTTCTGGGGCCCAAGTGAGCACCAGAGCTTGATTGTGGTAGAATCTGTTGAGATACAGAGTAGACTCTAACCCTATGACCACCCACCAGGATCCCATAACTGCCTCTTCAGAAAGGAAGTTGAATAGGCCTTTCCCAAAAGGTTTTCTTTAAGCCCAAAGGACCCAACTCACCCGAGGATTTTTTCAAGCTTGGAGACCACAGTATTCACAGTAGTGCCAATCGAATTCCCAACATTTTCTAAGAATGGCTCCAGAATTTTTCCAATGGGAGAGAGCTTCAGTTTTTCCAATTCATCTGTAAGTTCCTGATCAATCACTGCCAATAAAACCAATGAAATAATCAATAAGCATTTATTGAACACCAACTACCTAGCATGTGGGAAGAGGCAAACCAGATATTAAAGAGGGATCAGTGAGGAAATTAGAAGCATGCCACCCTAAAAGACTCAGATTAGAAAAATGGAAAAGATTCTCTGTGTCAGTAGAGGAGAAAGGTAGAGAGATAAGTGTCTCAGAAAATGTATAGAAATTAAAGGCAACTGAAGATGCCTAAAGACCCCAATACTCATACTACTTTGAGCAAAGGAACTGGGATTTGTTAGACTATATTTGGAGCTTGGAGCAGGAGTGTGAGTCATTCCAAATACACGGGCATGCTTGGGCACTTATGTGACACAATGGATAGAGCACAAGGCTTACGGTCAGGAAGACTCATCTTCCTGAGTTCAAATTCAACCTCAGACACCTCTTAGCTGTGTGATTCTGGGCAAGTCACTTAACCTGTCTGCCCCAGTTTCCTCATCTGTAAAATGAACTGGAAAAGGAAATGGCAAATCACTCCAGTATCTTTGCCAAGAAAACCCCAAATGGGGTCACAAAGAATCAGACATGACTGAAATGACTGAACAACAGCAATGCATGGTGAAGTGGAAAGAGAATTAGATCTGGAGGAATCCTCCCTCTGTCACTAATACCTGAATGACCTTGGGCAAGTAACTTTGACTCTCTAGACTTAAATTTGTTGCTGTTCAGTAGTTTTCAGTCATGTCTGACTCTTCATGACCCCATATGGGTTTGGGGTTTTTGTTACTGTTGTTTGGCAAACTTACTGGAATGGTTTGCCATTTCCTTCTCCAGCTCATTTTACAGATGAGGAAAATGAGGCAAACTGGGTTAAGTGATTTGCCCAGGGTCACACAGATAGTCATATTCTGAGCATGGATTTGAATTCAGGGCTTCCTGACTCCAGTCCACTGTGCCACCTAGCTGGGCCAGACTTCAGTTTCCCCATCAACAAAAACATGGAATAGACCAAGTAGCCTCTAAGGTCCCTTTTGGTTTTAAAACTATGATCCTGTGACCAGATGTTTTCCAAGATTCTTATTAACTCTAAATTTTTTGATCTGCCCCTCAGCAGTCAGCTGGTAGAGGACCAAAATGTAAGCTCAACACTTTTTCTGTTTAATCTGCAGTATTAAAATTTTCTCCATCTCATTCTTAAATCTTTATAATAATCAAAACAATCAATCAGGCCCTCATTTTTACAATTTGCAGATTGCTCAGTTGTAAATGCTCACACTGATCATTTAAGAGCTGCCTTTGAGACAATTCTAGCACATTTCTGCCCACATTCCTTCCATTCTAGGATCTGATGAGTCTCCCCTTCTTTTCATCAATCAACAAGCATTTGTTAAGTGCTTACTATGTGTCAGGAACTGTTCTAAGTGCTGGGGACAAAAAGAAAAGCAAAAACAGAATCTGTCCCTCAGGGGGCTCACATTTTAAAGGGAGAGACAATATGAAAATATCTATGTGTGAACAAGACATATACAGAGCAGATGGGAGACAATCACAGAGAGAAGGCACTAGCAGCTGGAGAGAGCAGGAAAGGCCTCCTGCAGAAGATGAGATTTGAGTTAAGTATTGAAGGAAGTCAGGAAGCCAGGAGGCAAAGATTAGGAGGGAGAGCATTCAAGGCATGGGGAACAGTTAATGCAAAGTCATGAAATAAGGAGAGCTACACCTTAGAAAAGTCTAATTGTTGGATGTGCACATAAACAAGCATCACCATTCAGCTGATAGCAACTTCGGGGATTGCAGTCATGGGATGAAATACAGCTGGCCTTGCAGACCTCACCTGTGCCATTAACCACCACTCCTGTTCACTCACCTGGAAGCTTGTCTGTAACCAACTGGGTTTCCTTATTCAGAACAGATTTCAAATCACCCAGAAGAGGACTTAGGGAGTCCAACTGGCAGCAGGAGGGGCCGATGAACAGGCCACACAGTAGGGTGAGTCTCCAAAGGGAAAGCATCTTTAGGCCGATTCCTGCAGGGAGAGGCGACAAATTGTGAGCATCAAAGGACCTAATGAAGGTGAGGCTTTTACCAAGTGGGCATTCATAGGGAGGATTGTCGCCTTCAGAGTGCTTTCCTCTCATTTTTGCTGTTATTTTACGAAGGAACCATGAAAAATAAGCATTTATTAAATACATACTATGTGTCAGAATCTGAACTTGGTCCTAAAGCTACAAAGACAAGAAAGAAATACTTACAAAATCCTAAGTTTAGAGGTAAAAGGAAGCTTAGTTTTCTAAGCCAGCACTCATTTCACAAATAAGGAAACTCAGACCAGGTAAGATTAACAGTCTTTCCCAAAGTCACACAAATAGTAAGTGAAAGATCTAGGATTTGATCCCAGGTCTTTCAACTCCACAACCAATACTCTTTCCATTGTAATATGCCATCTCCCGAAGCAGCAGCAGCATTTATATAGTGCCCTAAGGTTGGCACAGCACTCTACTTAAATCTTTATGATCTCAACAACTGTGAGAGGTAAATGCTAATTATCTACCTTTTACAGATGAGGAAACTGAGGCAGACAAAGGTTAAGTGACTTGCCCCAGGGTCACATAATTAGTAAATATCTGAGACTGGATTTGAACTCAGGATGTTTCTGACTCCATATCTAGCATTTAGTCTACTGCTCCAACCTAACTACTAAGCTGACATTCTGTTAGTGTGTATGTGTGTGTGTGTCTGTGTGTGTGTCTGTGTGTGTGTCTGTGTGTTTGTAGTGTATGTATATGTATATATATAGTTTATGTATATGAACATTTTATATATATATGTATTTGTGTATGCATACACATATATAAATATAAACAAAAACGTAACCAGTAAGAGTCAGAATTTCCTAGAGCTGACAAGTCGTAGATTATTCAGAGATAATCTGGTTCATCTCTGATTTCTCAAATGAGGAAACTGAATCCCTGAAAAGTTAAGCAGATTGCATAAGGTCACACTAGTTGCAAGAAACAGAGTCAACATTCGTACCCAGTTTCTCAGACTTCACATCTAGTGAGTTGAGTGCTACATTCCCACTTTTTTAGTGCTATATTCCCACTTTTTTCTGCAAAGGAGGAATCTTGTCCTCAGAAGGTGCCTTGGACAGTGTCATGCGTTGCATGATCCCAATTATCCCCACTCTTTTGACCCTACAAAGTTTCTTGGCAATCTTTTTGCCCCATACTCACAGGTTTTACCTGGTCCAGTGAGGACACTTGGATCCTGGTTCCTACCCTCTTCTGAGATCTCCTAAAAACCTCTGAGGAGGCAGCTGCTCTTATATAGTGGGAGTATGAGGGGAATGAAGGGCAGTGGCATGCATGACTGGGCCTGGCTCTATGTCTGACCTCAGTAGTCTCCAAAATAAATAATCACCATACACAATAAGTAGTGAGGCATGGGACTTGAATGTTGCTGAGCGTGCCTGGGTTGGAGGTTTCTGCCAAGATCCATGGTACAATGGAAAGAAAAATGGATTTAGAGCCACAGGAGGGAATTTTAAATCTGGTCTCTATCCCTTGCTACCTCTATGACCTTTGGCAAACCACTTAGCTTCATCTTCCTCATCTGTAAAATAAGGGATTTGAACAAGATGGTCTCTAACATCCCTTTCAGCTTGAAATTGATGGTGCTGTGATTAAAGATAAGGATTTCATGTTTTAGTGGGTTTTGAGTGGTTTCTTACTACTTAACAAGGAGCTGATTGTAGCTTGTTGAATAAAAGGGAGGTCAAAAAGTTACTGCACTATAAATAATAGTAGCCACCATTACTATATCATTCAAATGTTTATAATGCATTTTATCCAAGGACAATCTTATGAGATAGGAAAGGCTAATGTTTTTATCCCCATTTTTCACTGGGGACTACATTGCATTTTAAATTAAGGCAAACTGAGCCTGAGAGAAGTTAAGTAATTTGCCCAATCACATATCTAATAAATGTTAAATAGGATTTGAACTCATGGCTTGATTTCAAATGTAGGTTCTTCAATACCATCACTGCTTCTATGTTATCCACTCATTGGCATTTTTTCATTTTTTTAAAAAAATTAAATTTTTTATATTTCAATTTATTACTTATTTGGGTTTTTTTTGGAGGGGAAGGGCTAGGCAATGGGGTTAAGTGACTTGCCCAGGGTCACAAAGCTAGTATTATGTGTCTGAGACCAGATTTGAACTCAGGTGCTCCTGACTCCAGGGCCAGTGCTCTATCCACTGCACCACCTAGCTGCCCTACTATTTGTTTTTAACATTCTTTTCTTTTTAAATTTTAAGTTGCAAATTCTCTCCCTCTCTTTCAACTTCTCCTACGTGCACCAAGAAGGCAATTAATATGATATTGATTATACACATGTATTTATGCAAAATATTTACATATTAGCCATATTTTTCAAAGCAAGAAAAATAAAGTGAGAAAATTATACTTTAATTTGCACTCAGAGTTCATCAGTTCTCTCTCTGGAGATAACGTTTTTTCATCATGAGTCCTTTGGAATTGTCTTGGATCATCGTATTGATCAGAGTAGCCAACTCTTTCACTGCTGATCATCATTACGATATTGCTGTTACTGTGTATGATGAAGTTCTGGTTCTTCTCGTTTTACTTTGCATCAGTTTGTCTAGGTCTTGCCATGTTTTTTTTGAAACCACCCCTCTCATTATTTCTTATAGCACAACAGTATTCTCTCATAAACATATGCCACAACTTGTTTAGCCATTACCAATTGATGACCATCTCCTCAATTTCCTACTCTTTGGCACCACAAAAAGAGATACTATAAATATTTTTGTCCAAACAGGTCCTTTTCTGTTTTCTTTTACTACTTTAGGATATAGACCTAATACTGGTATTGCTGGGTCAAAGAGTATGCAGAGTTTTAGAGCCCTTTGGGCATAGTTCCAAATTATTCCCTAAAATAGTTGGACTAGTTCACTACTCCACTAGCAGTTCATTAGTACACCTATTTTTCGCTCATGTTCTCCAGCATTTGTCATTTCTGATAAGTGAGATGGTACCTCAGAGTTGTCATAATTTGCATTTCTTTAATCAATAGTGATTTAGAGCACTTTTTCATGTGACTATAGATAGCTTTGCTTTCTTCTGAAAACAGCCTGTTTATATCCTTTGACCATTTGGGGTTTTCTTAGCAAAGATACTGGAGTGGTTTGCCATTTCCTTCTCCACCTCATTTTACAGATGAGGAAACTGAGGCTAACAGGATTAAATGACTTTCCCAGAGTCACACAATTAGTTAATATCTGAAGTCATATATGAACTCAGTTCTTTCTGACTCTAAGGCCTGGTACTCTATCCACTGCACCACCTAGCTTCCATTTACACCTCAGAAATCGTCTAATATTCTGTAAAACTTGGATTCAGTTAAAAGGTCACACTTGAGGACCTACAGGGTCACGTGTGGCCTTGAGGCCACAGGTTCCTCTCTGCTCTAAGTAAGTCACTTAACCTCCATCTGACTTAGTTTCCTCATCTGCAAAATAAGGATAATAATAACACCTAATTCCTATGGTTGTTGTAAGGATAAAATGAGATATTTGGAAAGCTCTTTGCAAACCTTAAAATACAATAGAAATGCTAGCTATTATTATTATTATCATCATCATCATCATTATTATTATTAATTAATCCAACCTCTAATGGAACAAGAACTTTGCCTGCAGTACACCCCCAATGTGGTTATCTAGCATCCACTTGAAGACTTATAGTTTGCAGGGAATCCATTCCCCTGTGGCACAGCCCATTCTGTTGAGGGGCAGCTCTGGCTAGTGAGCAGTTTGCCTTTACTTTGACCTCAAGTCTGCCTTTCTACAACTTCTGGAGGCCATTTGTGCCCTGCATCCCAAGCCTGTGAGGGAGGAACACATCCTGAATGTAATATCCCACACATGTAATACCCCAGGCATCTGTGTGATGGGCAGAGGTTTCCACTCTTAAAAGGGTGCCGTGGAGAATGTCACAGATATATTTTCGAGCAAATTTTCTTCCTGCTCACAAGGACTCCATCGTGAACCACATTTAGATCTTCCTTATGAACCAGTGCTATCTCAGAGATAGACTCTCACCTTATAAAGGAAGAAAATCAGGTCCAGAGAGGAAACAAAATTGCCTAAGGTCACACAGTCAGTCAGTATCAGGGCCAGGACTCTATCTCATATCTCCTGACTCATCCTTTTGCTCTCTTTGCACTACCTCTTTATACCACCATCCTGGTGAAGGAATTTGTCCCAGGTCAAGTGAGTGGCAGAGCCCCAAGACCCAGAACTAGGATTCCTGACTCCCAGCCTGTGAAAAGTGGACCAGACTCAAAGTCAGGAGTGACCAGGTCTTATTACCTATGGTCTTGAAATCCCAAGTCTGGGCAAGTGACTTCATCTCTGAGGCTCAGTTTCCACATATGTGAAATGAGGATAATAATACCTGTAACACCAACCTCAGGTTTTTATTGAACAAAACTCTTTGTAGTTACAGAAATGAGAACTGTCAGCATGATTCCAAACAGTAAGATTCCCTACAGGGTTATTCTGGAACACTTAAGATGGAGAAAACCTGAAATCACCCTGGAAAAGAAACAAGCAAAAAAAAAAAAAAGAGATGGGGATGTTTTTGTTAGTCTTCTTACAGAGACAGTATTTACCTTTCATTAAAAAGAGCAGAGCCATGAGGGTCCTTGTTCCTTGGGATGAATACCTCATTGAGCACCTTTAACCAAGCACTAAAGGTCATAGGTTCTCTGGACCCAGCCACCACCCTTGGCAAGTGGAAGGGCTAGCTGGAGGCTGCAGTAGCCACTAATCCTGACCTTTGCAGTTTCATGCTACATTGATCACCTGTGCTCTGAAACCTGAGACAGCTTGATTCTTTCTCAAGCACACTTAGGATTTCAAGGTAGGGACACTACAGCCCACAGGATTAGGTTTGGGAAAGTGGAGACCTTCTTCCTTTTTGCTTTAGTCCTTGACATGAAGGAAATGACTGTTGGGACAGATATGAAATGGACCCTGGAGAAAAGAAACTGCCAACACACACACACACACACACACACACACACACACACACACACACACACACAC